TGTTGTTATAGGGTTGAGCTTGGAGAAGCTTGTCTGCAAAAATATACTCATTTGAGCCTAGTGATATTTAACTGTAAAAGAACATTTGGTGTTGAAGTCTGAAGAGACATTGTGTGAAAAGAATACTTAGGTAAATTGCTTGAAAAGACAATTCAAAGAACACTTAGGTTTAAGCTAAAAGTGACTTGTTGAAAGAATACTTGTATCTTGTTTAAGATATTGGAACTCAATCTGGTTGGATTGATAATTGTATGTAATCTCGGAGGTTAAGACAATCCAGTATAAAAATACTGCGTGTTTTGTCTTCCTTTTCTCCAACACTTTTAACAGTTAGTGTTAGTACTTTACTACTTTAAAAATGTGAGTTTTTAATTGATACTATTCAACCTTCTTTCTAATGTATATTTTTTTCACACATACCTATTAGGTTTAAACGTAATATTTTTTTTGGTTGTTGCTTTGCCTTATAGAACCCTCTTACAACTTGGGGTATTCACAGGTTTGCATAAACCGTGAACCTAAATGAACCCAAACTGAATTAATCACTTTGGATCAATATTTTAAGAGTTTGGATCTAACCTATTTGAACCCATTCATGTGCAACCTGAATAGTTTAAAGAAAGATAGTTTGTGGGATCAGGATACAAACAAATTATCGCATTATTGTAACAGAAAAAGAAATAAGCGTTTATAAAACACCCGCATACTCTATTGGTTAGAAGCCTTTTTGAGTGATGATTAAAAGCAAAATCATGAGTAAAAGTTTAAAGTAGACAATATCTTACCAATATAAATAGATGTGTATAAATACTCCAATAACCCGACAAATAAACAATAAGATATAATCCTCCGCTTAATAAGGTATATCTCCATCAAACAAATACCATATATAACACAACCTTAACACATTGAAAAATAAATAAATAAAAGGTAAAAGAAAACTGAATTACAGTGATGGTGATAGTTATGCGAATTTAAAGAGTTTATATGTCATAACATTACCCTAACCCTCTATTTCTTTTGGGTATTAATCCATTATACCCTCTCCCTTTTGTTAAGAAAAACATAAACACACTAATGATATAATCTTGTCGAGATCACTTTACAGATTAACTTTTCTTGCAGGAATCCTAAGAAAGTATCTAATTCTATGAAAGTAGCTAATTATTGTATTAAGTAAGAACACGACACTAGGAATAATTACGGGAAGCTACTTCAGTATCAAGTGTTTAGCATAAGGATAGCAAGTAGACATGGAATAATATGAATTAGTGGCAGTGTCTAGACATTACTTTCACACAAAATCTCAGGTGATATATACATCCACTCGCTTTTATATTTCCACCCAAAAATATCTCATATTCTTCATTAACTTCATAATTCAGCAGATTCGCCACCTTCCTTACCCCTTAACCAATCAAAAAAACATTAAAATATGAGAAAAGAAAGGTCAATTCATTATTGTTTTTCGTTTTAAAATGTGAGTCTTTGACAGAAAGAATATTGGATTAAGATACTAATCAAATTTCAGAATCCACTGCCTTCCACCTCAATCAAGCAAAATCTTTAACCTAGTGAAGTCCTTGTCATGTACTATTTTTTTCTCTAGCTTTTGTTGCATCCTAGACATCTTAGTTGACCAGCTAGGTTGTACAAAATTATATACTTCAAGCTGATGGATCTAGAAAAGAAAGTAAAAGAAGATATTGATGAAAAGAACACAATAATAAGAAAACAGTTGTGTAGAAGATGTTACCATGTAAAAGAGACAGGTAATAATTATAGTGAATTGTAGGCAGTGTTATTTTAGACAACATCTAAACTTTTTCCTTTTTAAACCAAGGGAATCCTCATATTGGAACCAAAAATTTACTGAGATCTATGTTTAGGACTTAATCTCTTTCAACAAATGTTTTTGTATGCGATAAATGGTCATTTTCTTTTTCTTAATTTTTCTGAGGAAATCATACTAGACCAATTAATCGGGGTAAGTGAATCCTATACCCTCAAAGTTTACTTCCTTTTTATTATAATAAATAAAAAAGCCTCTGTCTTTAAACTTTCTTTAAACAATTCAAAGAGCTCACCATTCAATAAGATTCATACATTGGATATAGCTCATCTCAACCCTCCTCTTCAACAAAACAAGAAAAGTAAAAGAAAAATAAAAGAAGCAAACTTTAGTTCACAATCTTTTTCAATTTCAAATTAAAAACTAACTAGTTGTTTAGCATTGTTTGGTTGATCACTTGTCAAAAGAACATATTCAAGGAGGACTGTCCTTCCCATGTCATAGACATGTCCAGCTAAAATATTATGCTTTGCTAGCTTTGCTTCAATCATCAAGAAAGAGAATGTGGGCAAAAGATAGTAAATAGTTGGATCGACCACTTCAAGTGTGATGCTCAAAAAAAAATTGGGAAACCTCAAAACAAACCTATTAGCTAGCCTACGAATAGGACTAGCCCAAAGATTCCATTCTCAAGATTTAAGTGGCCTACTTCTTGATCTTTCTTTATATATTATTTACTAAAGGGTCTACCCCTATCACTACCTAGGTCTTCCTAAAAGAAAAATCCGGATCCCCAATGTGATAACTTATTTAAATCTCTCTTCTTACTCTTTGTCATCATTGGCTCTCTCGGAATGAAAAAACGTCATTCTCATTTACAAAGAATAAAGGGATAGAGACCTCTTAATCATCTATCATTAAACTTTTAATCTAAGATTTGCAAAAAAGGAAAAGCAGGATCATTATGATAAAGAAGTTGGACACGTAAAGTTAAAGAAATGTTTGTCCAAAGGTGAATATGATAGAAAGAATCATAATTTTGTGAAAGAGAATGATTAAAGTACATCCAACTGAATAAACAGAAAAGCAAGAAGCAATGGAGTTGAGTGGTACGTATATTATATCAACACTTCTACAACAGCCACTGCTTAAAGGAGAAAAGTAAGACTCGCGATGTGATTTACATTCTGTGCCAATTAATTTTATATTGTTTGATTCCAATTGGTAACTAAATCAGTTCCCTTGCTATATACTAAGTGCATGATAGGACTATGAGTCCAATAATGAAAGGTAATTTGTCCATCCTTAAGTGAAATATTTTGTGGGCTAGAGCATATTACACTCAACTATGATTGAAGCATACAAATGATCTTCCTAGAGCATAAAAAAGTAAGGTATAGCTCTTACAATAAAATCTTTCCAATGTGCACGTGTAGTCAATTCAATGGTCCTACTAAAGTTACCAAATCAAGGGGAAACCCCTAAACCTTGAGTAGGATTGCGTGGCATTGACTATTCTTAAACGAAAGATTATCTTGTTAATTTCTTTAAATCTCAGAAATTAATGGGGGTAATTGTCACACCAACTTTGATCATGGCGAAAGAGACCCAAGATATTGTGGTCATGGAATATTGCTAATGAAGGTGTGTGACCATAATGATAATTTGAGGCAAAGAGGGTCATGTTTTGGTAATTAAGATGTTAGATTAGCAGGTGAGGAATGTAGATTCGCATTTGTTCGTTTATGTATCAGACAAGGACTAGATGACAGATTGGTCTGTGATATGCAATCATCAAAGGGTGATTGAAGCCCACAAGAGGCAAAAAGAGAGAGCAAGTGGGCCATTTCAGTGTTTTATTTTTTCTTTTCCTTATTTATTCTTTTGAAAGGAGGAGGAGGGCGGAGTTAAAAAACTTGAAATGGGGAACGGGGAGGACCTTGAGAAATCTTACAATAATAGAGTCACTTTACATTGCACTTGATTTGACCACACGGTCACCAAACAGATATTCTTATATAATCGTTAGCATTTAGCAAGCAAATGCAAGAAGCCATTGGCAGAATTTAGTGACCCCAAAACAGGTTGTTGCTCCATGTGACATTTGTTCGGTGTTTTATTACCAAAAGGGTCTTGCTAATCATTATCTAAGAGAATACTAATTGAGAATATCTAACATTTTTAATTATTTGAATGAATAAATAAAATAACTTTTTTTAATTTATGATATCATAAATACTAAATAGAAGGATGAGTGCTGAGTAGGAGAAATAGGTGAGTTAAGCCAATGATTAACATATGGGAGCCCCCAATAAGGCCAATTTATAATGATGAAATTGATTTATTCTTTGCATGACAAGATGAATGAAAGGGGTGAGATTAAGCATAGAAGATAAAACAAGTCATTGGTCAGAATTGTACAGTATTTGGTCTATTTAAACAAAATATTGAATTTAAGTCTTATAAATTGAAAAGGTATGAGAGATCTTACTAGGTCAGTAACTTCATCGTCAAAAATTTATTGTCAATGAAGGTGATAGATACTTTGTTTCAATAACACAATTATAAAGAAAAAAAAATAGCAATGACACATTATTTTTGACAGAAAGTATTATTGTAACATGGGGTTTTTGTACATGTCTTTTAACCTTAGAAAGCAGGGGAAATGAAGCAAGACTGAGGGAGTAACATGTATGATGGTGGATTTGCTTTGAATAAGAATTGGTAGGTAGGAGATTTTGTTACTTGGAGCAAAGTGGTCTACATATATGTATGTCTGTCCTATTGCCTATATACGTACTACTATGCAGAAGAATGGGACCAGTCGTTTTCATGAATCCTGACCAAGCGAGCTTCTGCACAAAAGATCACTGCAATCAGATGGCTATAAGCATCTACAATTCTGTCTCATTGTTAAAGGACATTTTGGTTATTGGTCTGATCGACCGCAACTGGTCATGGGGGCATGAGGGGTGCATAATGGGACCCTACCGTTGCTGCCTCTATCCATTTTCATGTGAATCGTATACAGTTTTAGCCAGCTCATTTGTTGTCCCAAAACCTCTAATATATATTACTCAAACAAATCAATGCTTTTGGAGTTTCCTGTTAGGCTTTGTTTGGAACCAAAGTTTAAGTGTGTGTGTGTGTATAGAGCTAGATTGGTTTTGCTATAAACAATATACAAAAGAAAGTCCATTTTGTTGCCTTACACTGAAATTAAACTTAATTATGTAGAATGGAATGAACAAAGAACTGAACTGAACTCCTTACCACTTAATTACAGAAGCTCTATATCACATCAAGGACCAATTCTCATAAAGGTAGTAGCATCATCAAAGTTTTGAGTAGAGTTGATACATGATAAGAACACATAGGCCTGAGCAGTTGACAAGCCATATTTCATTTCATAGAACTAATGAGGAGATTCCAAGCTGGAAAGAGCCGGGTTTGGCGGATCCTGTCCTTTGAGAGAAGCCCGAGAACACACATGGACATGGGGGTTGCATTGCTTCTTAGTTCTAAATTGTCACAAAAAATCTCATCTAGTTTTCTTTTGAAGATTAACAAAGAGATTAAATAGAAAGAAACTACACTCATAAATGAAGAGAAAGGAATATTGGGGAAAAATTACTTCAAGTAGTACATCTAAATGTCCCCATCTCACTATTCATCTTGCCCCCTTCTAATATTGATTTTTCCCAATCACTCACTACTTTCCTTAAAGAGAAACGAAGACGTTTAAAATGAAAATGGGAATAATATCATAGAGATTAATGTTCAAAAATTTTAAGAAAAAAAAAATACTAGTTGTTATAAATCCCAACACAATGATAATGTTGAAGAAGCCTATTGGCTTCCCTAAGGCCACTGAAGTAAGCTCCATGAGTCGTGGAATAATGAGTTCTGTGAGTTGCTTCCCCTGCAAACAAAATTTGAAGTGGAGATGAAGCAGAAGGCTGACAACTGCTATCTTTTGGCAATGGCTCTGCCATTGTATCTAAATCATCACCACTTGATCCTACTGCAACATAACTGTATGACCCTAAAAACAAGGGATCAGTCCCCCATTTGCTCTTCAAGACTTTACTGAACTTCAATTCATTTTGGTGAGATCCCTCCTCAGAATTCGCATTACCATTGCACAATTTATGTGAACTGGAACCCTTTTGCCACTGAGAATGCTGTAGAAAGCACGAGACTGTGGATGAAACCCCATTGATGATCTCTTCATCTTTGAGTGACTCAAGTGCTAGTGCTTCTTCCCCCACAAACCATGACAAGAGGACACTAGAATTGTTGTAGATGGGGAAAAGGGTGGCTGTCTTCCTCATCCACCAGGGTATTTTCTTGTGCTTCATTTCAGATTGAGGAGAATGAAAAACCATTTGCAGGAAAGGAAACCCTTTGTTGGATTGTTCATGTTCATTTTTGTCTACTCCATGTGTTGGACTCAATTGCATAAACAACTTGTTAACAACCCCAAAACCAAGCCTTGAAATAGCCTCAGTCTTGGAAGGGGGAAGAGGAGGACAGAACATACCTGAATCATCATCACCAATAGCAGCTTTTAACACTCCCAGTGAAACTGTGACAATGACATGATCAGCAGACATAACTGAGCCATCACAAAAATGCAGCTTCACAGGCCTAGAACAACAACCCCCATAGCCATTCTCCACACCCTTCCTCTCATCAGCCTGCCACTCAATCCTTGTGACTTTCCTACCCAACTGAACCAAACCAGGTGGCAACACAGAAGCTAAGTACTCAATTATACTCAAGTACCCTTTAGCAATTGTGATTTCTTCACCAGGGAACATTCTATACTCACTCTCAGCACCATAATCCAGGGTGAAAAGGTCATCAGCAGAGGTATAAGTCCTCTGGTTGTTCTCATGCATTGCAAAGATACCCTCCTCAAGCAACTTCCTGCTCCAGTTCCCACACCCTTTGACCTCCTCTTGCTCCTTTGACACCTGGTAAGCCTCAAGGCCTTGTCTGAGGAAAGAACCAACACTAAGGTTGTTGTTGTTGTTGGAAGCAACCTTAGCAGCCAGAGAAGCCAGGTTGTGGTAGCTTTCGAGTTCACCCTTTGCAGTGGCTCGAGTGAGCTTCCCTTGACAGTAGTCCATGAGGTTGTTAAAGAGCTTTGTGATGGGGTCAACAATGGAAGGGTTGAGGTGGAAGCCACCTTCAGCAATGGTGATGGCATCATCAGTGTTCCCATCCATGCACTCCCAAGGTTGGTGAGAGTGGAGTGAGTGGATTTCTTGAGCAATTTTGTGAATAGGGCTACCTACAATTCCATGGATCCAAGTAGCACCCATCTCAATACGGTCACCACCAAACTCTGAAGTGTTGATTCTGCCACCAATCCTGCTTCCACCCTCCACAACACACAGCTCAAACAAGTCCTTTGAGGCAGTGGCAGTGTAGAGCTTGTTGGCAGCAGTGAGGCCTGCCATTCCTGCTCCAATTATCACAATCCGTGGCTTCTTCACCGCCATTGTTACTTCAAAGATTACAACCTTTGCTTTTCACTCTTTCACAACACAACAAAACAAATCACACACGGGGGAGAAATAAACAAGACACAGAGTGGTGTGAACCGTGAAGGTGAGATTTGAGTTACTGACAATCAATTTATAACTGGCCTCTCTGATTCCTCACTGAATGCCCTTTTTCTTACACTTTTTGGGGTGCGCTCATGCCAATCACTAACTTGCTAATGTAAATAAATAACTATAACTATTGTCACAATAATGCTTGAAAGGAAATATAATTCAAAGTCACAGAGATAAAACTTAAAAGTAGTAAATGTAAAAATCTTGTGCAGTTTTCATGATAGGATAAACTTATCTGGGACCGGGATTTCTACTGCAGTGTCAAAGCTTTTTGGAATTTTCACCATTGTATTGTGAGGATAAAATTACACTTGTAAAAAGTTACGCAGTCACATCAATTTCCACAACTTTTCGCTACATTAATCACATTATAAAATTACAATCATAAATTTGACCACAATTTAAAACCTTATATATGAACATTTTAAGAAGGGTTTGGTCTTCATAATTACTAATGCGTTGATTTTTGACATTGTTGAGGTTCCTTTTTTTTTTTTTTCTTTCTTTCTTTCCTATATAACTATCTTTCATTAGAGGTAACTTATTAGAGTCACATCAACATTTTAAACAATAAAATTCTTTCTTTAAATATTTATCATAGTTGAATTGTTGTGATTTACTATTATTACTAATTACTAATTTACTAATCCCTAATAAAGACAGGGTTCTACTTTTCCTTTAGCACTGCAATTAGAAGGAAAATGGTTGAAAGTGTAAGTTAAAAAATTGGCATTGGCATATAGGGTAGGTGTGGCCCAGTGCCATAAATGCCCACGAGTGAGTAATAATTCAGAGACAGTCACTGAGCACTGAGCTATATGACTAATGTCTATGACTATAACCTATGCTATGGGGGAGGCTTAGAATGGAAATTACCAGAGGGGGGAAAAACAAGGGAAATGGAAATGTGAAAAAAAAAAATATAAAGAAAATAGAAAAAGTTTGATAGTGCCTTTCACCAACCTCACATGTAAATTGAGTTAGGGACGGCCCACCAACTGGACAATTCAATGGTCCTGATCAGCCGATGGGCTGTCCTTAGATGAGTCACCGTACACACTCACACACACAAATCCAACAGTTCTAATCAAATTCTTCCTCTCATTCATTCCCATCCCTAATCCCTTCTTTTTTATTGTATTATTGTTTACACTAACCCTATCCCTATGTTCTTCTTCTTCAAAATCAGATTCACTTTTTTCACAATGTCCTTAAATAGTCTCATTAAAAATCACTAATCTTTTTGTTATATATTAATCATTATCATGTTTGTAAAACCAGTATGTGTGATTGGTAATTGGAGGAAAAAAACAGGTACAAGTATTATTAGCAAAGAAGACTCTAATAAGAGTAAAAAAATAGAGGTCTTATTAATCAGTTTCATCATGAGTAGTTTACATTGAAAACTATCATAAAGTTATATGATCAAAAAACGTGTAAATATATTTTTTAATAGTTCTTTTTAATTTTTTTATTTCTCAATCAGTGTCCTGATTAGATTTTCGTTACTATAGCTAGTTAAATTCACTGATAGATATTAATTATTAGCTAAGTTGACAGAAATGGTATTAATAAAAATTCTCTAAGTCTGCAATCAACTAATCTTAAAATTATATTCAGGTTCTCCAAAGTTAATAGCAATTTCAAATCAACAATGTGTTATAGAAAAAGTCTTTGCGATCGATTAATCTTAAATTATATTCTGGTTCACCTACTACAAACACTAATTATTAATAATGTTGATAAAAATTTTGTATGAACATCGTGTTATAAAAGAATCTCTAAGTTTGCAATCGATTAATCTTAAAATTATATTCGCGTTCATTGACTATGAACACTAATTATTAATAAAGTTATATAGATTTAGTATCAACATCGCGATATCAAAAAGAATCTCTTAATTTGGAATTGACTAATCTTAAAATTATACCGATGATAACTGAATTGACTATTATTATTTAGTTATCATTGAACATATAATGTATAGTTACCATTTGTTTATGGAAAGAGAATTATTCGAAAAGATATAAATTGGGAATTTAGTGGTCAAGTTGGAGAATAGGAATATGAGATTAGGAAGCTTTAGTAACAATTTCAAAATAATTTTTAATATTAAATAAAATTTATTAACTGAATTATAATAGTATAACTTAAGTTTCATTTGACATATTTTATGACTTGTTGTTTTTAACTTATTTTTTTGATAGTGTGATGTATATACACTATATTTCAACTTGTATTTAATGAGTTTTAATTATAATTTTATAGATTTTATTAAATTTTACTCAACGATAGAAATAAAAAAAAAAAGTGTTAGAAGAATATGTTCTCAACATTTTTTTTACAAGATCCTATTAATTATTACTCTAAAGTCATCAATTAAAAATGTTTCCTCATATCTTTCTAACTTTTTAAGTGGTACTATTAAATTAAGAGTTAATCATTTATATACTTGTAGTGTAAATTTTTTTTACACTGACAACTAATTATATCTTTTAATTGTATCATGTCACTATAAATACATTTACTTTTAACAATGATATGACACAATTAAAAGATATAATTAATTGTCAGTGTAAAAAAAGCTTTATACAGATAATATATAAGTGATTAACTTTTAAATTAATTACAAAGTAATAAATATTTGTTAAACAAATGGTTACTTAATTTCCATATATAATTATTATTCAGATAGACAAGAACTGAAGTTGGTAATTTAATTATGATGATGCATGAGAAGATGGGATTATTTGAAAGTTTGTTGGCAGTTAGCAGGCGTTGAAAGAAAAAAAAAAATCTGAATAATAATTGTACGGTCCAAGAAAAACTAAATGGAGCATTGAAGGAAATATCTAAGCAAGAATCTTTGATATTTGTGGTCAACGGTTTACAGAGTTTATAATTGCAATGCAAAGGAAAAGTAGAGTACTGTGTACAGTGCATGAATCTTGGTAAGCCGTGATCAGTGACCAACGTCAACACAACACACTGTTTATTAATTACGCTTATCATTTTTTTACTACAAAGCTTTCTTACCATCTTAGTTTTTCTTTCATTATAAAATAGATAAATAAATATTGTGAATTGTTTATTAACTATTTTAAAAAAAATTAACTTAATTAGCTACTAAAATTATTTAAATTAGTTTTGATTTTTTGGCTTATCAACTGAGACAAGGAAAAAAGAGAAAACACAAAATGAAGGTTGGAGGAAGGCATGTCTTGAGGTTAAAAATAGTTATATATTGGAGTGCTTTTTTTTTCTTCTTTTTTTTTAACTATATATAAGACGTGTAATTAAATTTTATCGGTGACAGTGAATACATATAAAATAAATATTTCTTTTACATATTATAGTTTTATTGGAATAAATAGTGAGGGGCTATGATTTTAGTAAATATCTTAATTTTTCTATCATTTATACGATTTGTTGCCTAATTTATACTCATAAGAAATTATATTCTTATTTTAAAAGTAAAATAATTTATACATTGAATTCATTAATTAATAGTATCCATAAAATAATAAAATTATTTTATTTTACTTTTATTGATATACTCTATAAAAATATAATTAAATTAGTCATTACATATTAATTTTAGGGTATTGTGTTGATCATATATACATGAAAAAAAATAATAAAAAATTAACTCTTTTCACTCTATGAAGTTGTTTTGGGTTATTAAATTTTTTTTTTTACTGATAAAGATAAATATGCATTAACAAAATACGGTGATGTTTTCATATATATTTTTTTAAAATTTTAAATTTCTTATTCATTATTTAAGAGTAATGATTAATAAAAACATTATATCGGTAAAAGTTTTAAATTTTTATTTTTTTAGTGTTATTAAATAGAAAATACTAACATTATTTCTTACATTTTATATAAGTTTTGCTATTGATATAATAATCTAGCTTAAATTAAGTTAATTTCTAATATTTTAACCTTTTTAATTAATTTATAAATTATTTTATTTTCATATAACTCTTGCAAATGTAAAACATTCAAGCTGAGACAGGATGTTTGTCTACTTGATGCTTGTCAAATCCCTAGAAATATTAGTGATCTTCATATTTAATGAAGAATACTCCTTGGTAATGAATCAAAATAATAATAAATAAATGTTTTTGAATATATAAATTATATTATAATTAAAAATTAATAATAAACAAATATTTTTATCTTATAAATTATATTTTATATTTAGGATAAATAATTTACATTTTCATACAATGTTAATTTTTAACCGTTGATAATTTATTATAAAAATATTAAAGTGTAATTTATAAATAAAATTAAAAATAATAGAATTAAAGAGATAAAATGTTAAGAAAATTTTCTAAAAATGCTCTCACTAAAGAATAACAACTAATCGTTGCAATGCACAATATTATTTTGTAACATTCTCCTACATGCTAATATTTATAACAAACAATAAGTAACAAATATTTTTGCAAGTTAAAATGCTTCAGTTTATAAATAAGGAAAAAGGATCATAAAAACGCTTCCAGTCCTGCATGGATAGAATATTCACATTTTTGTAAGCACGAAATCAAGTTTAAAATGAATTTAAAAAGAATAACTTAAATAACAAGATAACTAAAAATAAAGGAAATAGATTTTAAGTCCATTACAAAATTTCAAAGGACAAACACAATGTTCTTACACAATATAAATAAGTTCGAACGTATGATACAAGGGAAACATAAGATATAAATCATAAAATTCGAGTTTTCGATGTTACATCATCTTATCAAAGCACAACCACTATAAGTACTATTACGTCTAAGTCTCATCACTAGCATCATTATCTTGATGATCGTCACTTGCAAAATATACAATATGTAAAAAAGCAACCAACACAAAGCAAGGGAGTGAAATACGTCTCTCTAGTTACTGGTGTGAGATAAGACTGGGTAACCGCACACAAGTAATAACACAAATTAACATACATAATATGACGTACATGTTCATAACAATTATAACATAAGTAAACAATTCAACAAATGTCAACCCAGTTATGATGATCATAGCTTATACAAATGCAATGGACATAGACTTATTAACTCTTTATCCATGTGGTATAGGTAAAATACATCACCTATC